GATGGCTAAATTGCATATTTTTTGTAAAACAAATAAACTACTATCACCAAAGCACTAAGCCATCTGCTCTGTTAAAGCAAGAAGATTGTGCACATGTTCGATCACACAACTCGCCGAAACAAACTCATGTCAAGTAGCTATAGAAGTCGTCTTATCAACACAAAAACAATCTAATGAGAAAAAGAGATGCAATGTTCAGGCAGGTCAGAGCAATAAAATTTATAGTTAAAAAATATGGGAAAAGTGATTTATATAAGTAGGGAACTATGCTCCATGCATGTTAATTAATCTTCTATGTAGTTCGTTATATTTAGTTTTGAGCTGTATATTATTGCCTAGAAAAGAATAATCAGGACATTAATTATGCAGTAGTTTGGTGCTCTGCATCTTCAAGGGGAGGGTTTACCTCCATAAATATTTGTACAATATACAAATCGTGTCTCAGCAATAATTTTTCTGAATTTTTGATGATCGATTTTACCATGGTACTTATTCATCACATAAGCATAGTAGTATCAATATCAATTGATTTTGGTTATTTACTTATAATAATATATTAAGTAATACAGTATAGAAATGTAAATAGAAAATAGCGATAAAGAAATAAGACTTCTTAAGCATACTTTAATAAAGAAGACACATGTACAAATATCACACATGAAACATAACTAATATAAATCTGAAAGCAGATCTTCTGCCTTTAACCCTTGTCGAGTACGTGCTAAATCTAGAGAAATATCGATTATTAATAACTATGTTTTTTGTCCATATATAATGTAGTATTATAAAACAATTCATACCTATATATCCTTATTTCTGATCAGATATAGTAGAAGAGATCTGTATTTGTTTTGCTTTCGGTTTGGGAAGATGGGTTTGGTGATTTAAACCCTGAGCATTATTGAAATCTTGCTCAGAAACCATTAGTCTATTTGGATACGTGTTATTTCACTGACAATCACTTCACAGACAACTTAGTTCACCGACAATCAATTCACAGACAAGTTTATTTCACTG